AAAAAAAAAAAAAAATATGTAGACATCAACAAACAACCAAGAAAAGTGAAAACATCAATGGTAAATTTAGGATAATGACTTGGATATTACCTCGAACGTTCGTTTCTCTTGACCTTACTCTAAAATCTTTAAACTCTCATCATAACGTAACTAGGGTTAAATGTGATTCACTGAGATACGCCGACGCAGCCCGTGATGATGACCGCAGTTAAACATAATTTTGAGGCTTAAAAAGTGGATCAATCAAACTCACGAGATTTTTTTTTTTTACTCTCTTTTTCCCGTGATTTATTTATTTTTGAGTATATGTGTTAAAGAGTAGTGCTACATGTACAATCAAATTGTACAATGAGTTATACAATGAGATATATCAGGATAAATTCATAATATCCACAACTTGAAAATGAGACATTGTGTTTTAAAACACTATTTCCAACACCAATTATTTTTATTTTATTGTATTTATTTATTATATTATTTAATGTTTACCTTATGAACATAATAGAGAATATCTCAAAGTACCATTTTTAATAAAGTACATTGGAAAAAAAAAATCTTATTTTAGCGAATTGCTTTTCAAATTCAGATGTTGTTAGGGGTGACAATCAGGCGGGCCGGTCCATGACCCGGACCGGCCAAGTGGGTCGCCAAGTCTCAAAAGGTAGACCCAGAATCAGTCCGGCTACACCTAAGGACCGGTCTATTGAACCTGTTCCAACCCGGCTATTCAAATTTTAATAAAAATAAAAATAAAAAATAACGCAGAGCCGTCTTCTAGTCTGAAACTGGCCCGGAACTGGTTCAATTTTTCCACGAATCCAATTCCAAGACACGTAGGTCCAGGCCGATTCGGCGGGCCAAATCGACCCTTGCCACCCCTAGATGATGTCTCTTAGTCGCCCCCTATTTATCGAATTGATTTTTTTTTTTACCCTCTTATGAGCATTACTCTAATATGTAGCTTACATTTTTTAACATGCAATTGAAATACTGTTTACATCAAAAGCATCATACAACATAGTTTTTTTTTTTGTTTGTTTTTTTTACATTTAAAGTTACAATATTCATATTGACACTTTGTTAATTTATAACGCTTCAATATAATTTTGTAATAAATAAGAATTTATAGGTAAACATACATTTAATATGAATAAAAAGTTCTAATTGAATTAATGTTTCATAGATAAATATTTAAATAAATTTTATAATTTTACATTTTAACAATTTGTCTTTGTTTCATTTCTTTTTATGTTTACGTAAATCTAAAATGAACTTATTAAATAATTAACTGATAAAAAAATGAATTGAATGTACTTATTTTTTTCCTCATATTTCACATAAATAGTACTTATTACGATAAAATATATAACAACTGAAATGTATAAACTTTTGTATTGTTCTTAATTAAGATAGACAAGATTTTTAAATTAAATCTAACACTCTTCTACAAAACAATACAAGGTAAATTTATTAAGTAATAATTTGAGGGCAAACTAGTAATTGACTTAGCATTGTCAAAGCCATTGTACAAACCCTATTGTACAAATAGCATTTCTCTATTCTATTACTATATGCTCATGTGAGAAAATGTGGTAAAAGATGAAAAACAAGAAAACCCATTTTCTCATCATTTCAAATAAATTCCAATATTAAGAAAGAAGGGGTTTTTTAAGTATACTTTGTGAGGAATTGTGAAAAAAAGAAGCAAAAATTAATTAAGCAAAAATGAAAACCTTTAATGAAAATTTTTGAGAGAGGAGAAAGTAGTGATAGAAGAAAACAAATGAAAGTAAATTATAATATTTGACCAACTATCACATACAAGTGCATTGTTATTTATAGAAGGAGAAACGGATTTGGTACTTTGTGTATTAAAAATAGACAATGGCCAACTTAGAGGACCAAAATTAAATTTTTCCCGCTAGAATTTCATTAATTAGCCTTAAATATTGGGTTGTGTTGTAAGAAATAGTGATAAAATTTTAATGTTAGACTATTGGATTAAATAATGTAGTCCTACTTTACTCACATTTGGACAAAGCTGTATGAGTGAAGAGAAAAAAGAAGCACAAATAAATAATTATATTTGTCCACATATATACTGTATATTATGAAATGTTTAATTCATGTATATGGAAAATACTAGTCTCATATTTGAACTAGACATGACCAGGTGCCGGGTTCGGGCCCGGCCCGGCCCGCCAGGTCGACGGGTCTCATTTGCTGGGCCCGTAACCGGCCCGGCAATTCCTATGGGCCGGTTCATTTGAACCGGCCCAACCTGGCGGTTCGTCGAACCGCCGGGTTAAAATAAATAAAAAATAAATAAATAAATAAAAAACAACTATGACCCGTCGGAAAATCCAGAACCGGTCCCAGCCCAGCGGATAAAAAAAAAACACAGGAGAACCGAGACCGGACCGCTTGGACACGGTCCGGTTCATAGGCCCGCGCGATTCCGAGCCGGTGCCGGTGCCGGTTCGGTCCGGGGCGGTGCCGGTTCGCGGGCCGGGCCATGGGTCGGTCCGACCCGTGGCCATGTCTAGTTTGAACCACAAATTATGAGCTCTCATCTTAAAAATGTAAGGTGTGAAGAGGTCTCTTTGAAAATTGGCTCCTTCAGTTCTACAATTAATATTGAGTTACATAATCCATAAGCCTACTAAAAAATAAAGCAAATAAAACAAAGAGCTGAGAAAAAAGAAACAAAGAAAGAGAGCTGTCAGGTATTAAAGAAGTGTAAGCAGAAGGTAGGTAAAAGACAGAAAGAGTATAGAAAACTGTCTTTAATATGCTAAAATCTCTCTTTTACGTAACCATTCCGTCGGGTTCGTAATTAACCGTTAGATCAACTATCCCGAGTCCCGACGGTTACATAATGATTAAACGGTTACAAATCTTGACGGAATGGTTCCGTAACAAGTGTAGTATTTTCCGTTTGTTTTAAGCCAAAGGACACAGACAAGACCCAGTATTCTACAGCAGGGCTCATCCATTCATTAATATTGGTTTTTGTATTATAATACTGTTGTGGTGTAATTTCATGTCAATCATTTTCAACTTAATACTACTGTGTGTTCAGAGATGTGCCCTGTGGATAATAGGTAGATTTGTTTAAATCCACTCCTTATTTTTGGAAATTAAAATGTCAATATTTGTATGGCAAAATTGCATTTACTGCCCTGTAACTTCGGGCCTGTTGCAAAACTGGACAGCTTCTTTTGAGTTTGGCATAAATGCCCTGAAACTTGTTAAAATGTGGAACCCGTGCCCAATTTACCTGCAGCTAACCTAAACTAGCCGGTAACTGCTGACTCAATCCGGTTTAGCCGACATGGATCCAACGTGGACGCCCGCGTGTGTGTAACCTAAGTACAATCGACAAAAGCATCGATTAAAACCCAAATTCAGCCCCCAAATAAAAAAAAACGCACCTCAAAAACCTAATTTCCAGAACCCTAATTCTTTTCCTTCTTCAATCGATCAAAATGTCAGAGATTACTGGAAATGCTGATTGTGTTTGCGGGCAT